AAGAGGGACAACAGTGGAATTGATTGCTTCCTCAATCAATTAATCTTATTTACGTTGTCGCTGAGTAATTGATTCTTTCCGCTCAACATAATCGTTCACCATATATTCAAAAACTCCTGAACTTGATGAACTAGATGAATTTGAATCAAAGTCCATTTTTAAAATTAAAAAAAAAAACAAATGGAAAGTAGAAAGTAGTGTTTAGACTTAGGTTTTTATTTTGTTAACAAAAGGTATTTTTATTTGCGTGTATTAACTACAAAGGTAAACTACTATATATAGAAATTCATAAGGTATATGGGCACACAACTCAAGAAGATGAGATTTTTTATGAGATATCCAGATTTCCATCCAATAGCAATTAAAGTTAATGCACACAACTCTAGACGATCAAATTTTGGATCAAGGATTAGATATCTATCCAATTACGATTCATTGTATGGGCACACGATAATCTAGTAGATGATATTATTGATAATGTTCTCAGATTTCCATCCAATTACAACATAATGTCTGACATCCCATTCTAGAAGATGAAAGAATTACAACATAAAAGGATATAACAATAACTAATTAAAACACTCCTTAAATAAATAATAAAAGCATTACAACATTAAAGGATATAACCATAACATTACAAATTCATAAAATAAACATCATAACTTATGATAAACTACAAATTTAAGCTTAAATTAACTTAAAAGACACTCAAACTAGCCTAAGAGATGGCTAAATTCCTCTTTTAGTTTCTGAAGAAGTTTTTCATCATCTACGGTGAGGTGTGATTTTGCAAGTGGAACACTGAGTAATTTGAACCTCTTCTTCTCCTCTTTTCTCTGTCTCTTCATGATATCTCGCTCCTTTTGCTAATCCAACATTTGTTTTGCTACAGCTGCTCGCTTCTCATCAACACTTAAGTATTGCCCTTTCATCATATTATCTCTGATAGGCTTGGGTGAATGAATCTAAACTATTAATTTCAGAACTAGCAACTGATTTACCTTTTCTTTTAGCCATTTTCACCCTATCGGGTCGTCCACGCCTTCCGTCATCCGTAGGAGTATTTGGTTCTGATCTTTTGGAGCTACCACTTTCACTGGTTTTCTGCACTTTCTTGTTTGTTGGCCTCCATTTATCATAATTACGCAGCTCTTCCCATACATTGAGTAAAGTGAATCGTGCTCCATTTTGTGTTGCTCCATATAGTTCTTGAGCATCAGTCATGACATTGTGGTTGTTGGCACCACTCCCAACTCTACGTTGTGCTGCTGCGTAGCAACCGACCCACTCGTTTAATTCTTTGTTAATTCTATCCCATTGACTTTTCATAGCCCTCAAAGTTCTACGTTGGATGATAGAAGGCTTTTATACCCTAGCTAGCTCATACAAATCATATACCTTTCCACATATCCTTCAAAGTATGATTTGACGCCTTCTCTGGATCATCAAGTGCACAATGAATCCAAGCAGATACAAGTGCATCGTCTTCTTGTGCTCCCCACTTACTACTGGAAGCGTTGTTGCTCTCTTTTGGATCTACCACGTTAACCTCTTCATCATCATTGTCATCATCAGTAGCATTGATTTCGGGAGGAGTTTTGTTACTACTTCCATCACCTCGGGAGTTGCTTGATTATTATCTAGTTGGTTACCAAAACGTTGAGATATTGGAAACGCTGCACTAGATGAATAATTCTAGGGAAATTGAAGCACAAATTGTTGTTGAAATTGGTTTTGGAAATTGTTGTGGGTACTGGTTAGAAAATTGTTGATTTGGAGGTATTATTGGCCGATTAGGAATGTTATAATGAAAAATTCTTTGAACATTTGGATTAGAAAGGGTATTTGGGTTGAATTGAAAATTAGCTTGAAAATTTGGAGAATTGGAACTCATTTGGTAATTTGGATTGTTTGGGGAGTAGAAATTATTTCCCTGATTTGGATTATTAAGATCCATAAGTTGGGTTAATATTTTTTGGATTTAGACAATGTGAAAATTCAATGTTGTGGATTAATAGAGAGAGGGTAAAAATTTAGTTGTGAAAAAATATGTCAATATTGGACTCTATTTATAGATAAAATTATGACAATCTCAACGGTAATTTTTTTTTTTTGAAAAGCAATGTAGATTTTTATTTTTTTTATTACCGTTATAAGATATTTAACACTTATAAAACTATACAAATTATTGGCAAATGTTCATGCAAATAGCTAACAGCTACAAAATTCAAATGGTAACCAAGTGTCCGTTGTGGTACTGACGCAACATCAGAAATCAGGTAATTTCTTGCAAAACCGACATCGTTTTACATAATTAGAAGGCAAAAAAAAAATTAAAATAATGAACTTGATGCACACGGTCCAAGGATGTTAGTTACCTAGAAGAGAGAAGTGCCTCATGGGGTGAGTAACTCACAAGTCACCATTTACAATGGTGAGCTACCCCAAAATATGAGAGAGAGTGGTGTGGGGAGGTTAGTGAGTTACCCATTGTGGGTGCTCTTAGATTATACGTGATATTATTATTTTAAACCAAAAAAAAAAAAAAAAAAAAGACACACATGTTTTACACAATGTTATTTTAGAACTAGTAAGTAGCCCAGCGTTGCCCCTACTTTTTTAGTGCAACTGCTAATTTTTAAGAGTATCCAATAGTTTGTATGTAGTATGTGCCTTCAATACTTTGTAGTATAATATTATTTATTGTGCAAGATTAAACATAATTGACAATTAGTCTAGATGGTTAAACAATAACTTTTCATCTAAGAGGTTAAGTGTTCGAACCTTCTCATCCATATATATATATTTTTTTAATATAGTTGAGACAACATGGAATATTGTTGGTTGTGTGGATGACGTGGCATATCGAGGAGTTGAGTGGATAACGTGGCATATAAGAAGTTGAGTAAGTGATATGGCGAAATGAGGGGGTCTACGTGGTGTATAGACGTTCTTAGGAACGCCTTTTAATATGGATTAGTATAGATATATTTGAGAAGTTCCCTCAAAAAAATTATTAGTTTTCAATAACTTGAGTAAATTTTCTAAAATTCCCTCAACATCTGAATAAGTGTATCATAACTTTAAGTTTTGCATTAATCAAATAAGCACATAGTATGCCATTTTGCTAGATTAGTTACCATTTATGTATGTGCATAATATCAACATTTTATTAATTTTGCTAATAGACAATTAAAGATATTAATGATCAAATTTATACATTTATGCATTTGCACGTGTATCCAGTTGCGGATCCAGAAATATCTAACTGAGGGATGACAAATAACATATCACATAGTTTGACAAAAAATTGTTAAAAAAAACACTTGTACACGTAGCTAGTTTGATAGCTAATGTTTTACGACTCAATCATAATCCAACTACCATATCATACTTTGAAGTGATCAGTAATTTCTTCTTCGAAAACTTGTAAGAATACATCCTTCTTGTTTTTTTAAACATAAATTGTCGAAGACTGGTTTTTTTTTTTTTTTTCCTCCTCTTCCTTGGACATGTTTGAATTAGGTGAATCATTTGACATGTCCTAATTAAATTGAAAACTAAAAATTTTGCGTGAGACTGGACTCACGGTTAGTCCAGCCTCAGCAATAAAAGCCCATATAAAAGTGTAGGCTATTAAAACCCGATCTAGGCCCGAAACATACAAAATGCATGTTACTCAAAGGATTATAAAGTAGCGCAAAATGCATCAATATCAGCAGCGCTGTTTTTCATCAAATTTCGAAAAAAAATAATTTAAAAAATCGTTAAATTGTTAGTAATGGAGAAATCAAAGGAGATTATGATCATCAACAAAGAATAGGACTCACCTATAAATTCAATTTCGAGCTCAATTATAATCGAAAAAGGTATGAATTATAGTTTTAACGATTTTAAATGAATTCAATTTTCAAATTGATTTAAGTATAAATTATTAATAAAATTTTGATGCGAATTTAGTATCGCATTGGATTAACCGTATAAATTTTGATAAAATTTCATGTAAATTTAGTCGGATTGAAAAATAATATAATGCAAAAATCATAAATTCTGATTCATGCAAATTTAATTTCATGTTGCATTTTATTTCATGCAAATGCATATTTCAAATACTAAAATGAATAAAATGCAGAAATTATAATTCTGATTCATGCAAATTTAATTTCGTATCGTATTTTAACTTCAAATTCAAAAATGCAGATTTTATAAATTTTGATTCGTGAAAATTTAATTTCGTATCGTATTTAATTTTTTTATTCAGAAATACATAAATTATAAATTCTGATTCATTCAAATTAAATTTAGTACCGTAATTTATCAGATTCAAATGATAGAAGTTGAATATAAATATTGTAGTTGAAGTTCCAAATATGACAATTCAAAAAATGCAGAAATTATATATTCGAAATCATTCAAATCTATTTTTTTATTGTATTTTATCAAATTCAAATGAAACAAGTAAAATAGTAAACAACGATGATAGAGAAGGATATAAAGATGCTGCAAAAAATACTAGGTATGTCTATTTGAGGTTTTGAATATACAACTTCTAATATGTGACACTATGATTCTAACATACACTACAATAAATTGACCTTTGTGCCACGATTTTACTCGTGACACAAGTTGGAAATTCTCGTGGCTATGTAATTTAGCCACGAAAATTTCGTAATTTACTCCTGTGGCACAAGAGTGCGTGGCTAGGAATTTGCCACGGGAAAATGAATGCCGTGGCAAATTTTAATTTTTATGCCACGGGTATTCACGTGGCAAACAAATTCAAGTGCCACGAATATTAACGTGGCTAACAAATTACTTGCCACAAATTCTACCGTGGCTAATAAACATTATTATCACAAATATTGCCGAGGCTAATAAGCTTGTTTGCCACAAATAATACCGTGGCTAATAGACTCTGTTGCCATAGATATTACCATGACTAATAACAATAGTAGGAAAAAAAAAAAGCACCAGTTCAAAATGCCTTAAAAGCACTGATATACACAAAAAAACTTAAAAACATTTTCGTTAATAGCTTGTAAATTTACACTTTCATCCCAAATGATCAACAGACATAGTATATATATACACATAAAACTTAGATACGTCGTAATTTCTTTAATAACTTGTAATTTTACACTTTTCAATCTAATAAAATGAAAAGAAAAAAAAAAAAATACAATTAGTCAATTTGAGTACACACTACAATTGGAGTAGCAGCAGAAAGCAGTAGCAGTGTTCCGGCAACTAGCAGTAGCAGCACCCAACTTAATGGCTAATCCTGGAGCATCTAAAACACTTTGCTTTCTCTGACCAGCACACTGCACAGCATGAACTTCAATTTCAGCCAACAATTGTAATGAGATTACGTCATTATAAGTCCAAAATTCACTGTAATTTCAGAAGAAGCATATTTGCATATACTAAAAGAAGTATTAGCCAATGTAACATAGTTTTGCTCAAGGAGGGGCATATATTACACTAAGAAAGAAAATCCAAAGTACACTTCCATACAAAAAATAAAGATTTGCTTGATTACACAATTATAAGAGCCGCAACTAATGCTACATATCAAAAAGAAATAACCTTTTCATACCCCATATTCAACGATGATCCGACACAAATCAGAGTTTATACGTAGAAACACTAGAAACAGCAGACATGTCATAACAACCATTCAACCCAAATTAACAGACATTAACTTCATTCAAGCAATTCATCGAACATCTTGAGAGCACATAATTACAAGACATAAACAAAATAACATATTCAAGCTGCAAATGTACTCACCTTGGCGCAAACATCGACAACCCGTTGAGTTCGTCCCCAAATGCATCTTCATCTTTCAACAATGTCTTCTTTAATTCAATTTTGAACTTCTGGGTTCCCTGCAAAATCCCAAGAAAAAAAACAGAAGAATAAAAAAAGAGCAAAAAAATAAGATAAAATATAATTAAAGCAATAATTTGTGCAATGTTATTATTATAGCTTTTGCGAATTCTGAAATTGGGTCAGGATACATGTAATTCCGGGGCAGGTTTGCCTGGAGTCTGAAAAATTGAGGAGAGAGATGCTGAAGTGCAATATTGGCTTTTCAAGATATTATCAACTTTGAATGCTTATATTTCCCACTCTGAAGTGCAGATTCACAGAAAAATCAACCATCACCAATTGATAAGTGATAAAAGCACACTCAGCATAGTATGACTATAAACAACTTTGATATAGTATACTACAACAGTACAACAACCCTAAAGAAATTCCAGTGGAAATTGATCATAAAAATGCAATATGAAGCCCAAAAAACTCAAAGATTCAACAAATCATTGCACCAACAATATACACACTTGCATTCCCCTAAGTTGGTCAGCACTAAATTAAGATTAATCAAACTGTCCATTGGACAATGCAGGAAGTGTTAAAGAAGTTAATTGCAAATCAAGTATTAAAGAAAGTACAGCAAGGAGCATGAACCAGTAGTTTTAAGTTGTGATGGCAGAGATTTTGCTAGGAAAGTTTACTGTAATTCTGTAAGTAAGGAAGCTGAGAAGAATGAAAGTCTGCAAAGGGCATACAGGAGGATTGTGGAAGTAACAGAGAAATTAAATGGGGAATTGGATTAAGTAATTGGGTATCAAAAGTCCGCCGAAAAGGAATTGTCAGAGTTTGAACATTTGCATGTAATGCAGATGATGGGGAGGGCCTGTATTCAGTTAGCTAGTTTCCAGTTTCTAACATAATATGAAAATCTCAGAGAATTAACCTCTAGATTTGTAATACAGCAGACACATATATTGTTACCCCCCCTGCAACCTGCCCCCTTCCCAAGCATAGTCCAATTATAGTTCATCTCTTTTCCTCTCCCTGCAACCTGCTCCCTTCTCCTGTATCTTCCCCCATCCCTACATCTGCCCCCTCCCTGCACTTTCCCCCACCCTGCACTTTTTCCCTGACCCTATAATTACCTCTTCATTCTCACCATTTTATTAAGGAAAAAAAAGAGCAGAAATATACAGAGTGAATTAAATTGCAAACATAAGAATCATGAATGTACTTAATTCATCTGGATGAACCTTCATTTCCTGAATCATTATTATTCGAGGAACCCCCCCTGCTCCAATAAAGTTAAGAAGTTGACTGATTTTTTTATCCCAAACAGCGTTGCTCTTTGCGATATTTTTATCCATGTCATTCCTAACTGATTTCACTTCTTTTTTGTCTTGTTCAGCTTATGTTCTAGCATTGCAACATCTTTTCGTGCTTCTTCAATTGCTTGATATGCTTTCTTTAGAAAGATCTAATCGCGAAGGCTATACTTTGAAATGTTGTGTAATACTTCTACCAGGTCCATAAGCTCACAAATACCCATGTATCTTTGCCAAGCACATCCTGAATAATTTTCTCACCTGTTTTCTCATTAGGACCTTGATCTCTTTGCTCCTTGAATTTCTTTATCTCATCCTATGCATAAACAATATTAAGTTAGAAGCTAAGATGGTAAACAAATAATGAGGCATTATCATCAATGGCAACACCATCCTCACCAAACTCCACATTTAAATTTTCTCTAGGAGGTAATAGGGTACCGTTCTTCTTTTCTTTCTAACGATGCCTGGATCATGCATAGGCTCACTAGGCCATTAATTAACAATTGAGATGAATATAACCAAATTGTCATTTATATATGAATTAAGGGATGATTAAGTTATACCTGCTGAGTGCTGACATGTTAAGTTCCTCTTCCTCCGCTACATTCATGAGTTCCTCACCGTTCAGTGGTTCACTATGCGAACATGCATCTTCAAGTTCAAGATCTTGATCAATAAGTCCTTCCTCATGATAATATCCTTATGTGATGTTATCAATATCCCTTGTGTCTCCAATTTCTTCATTATTTTCTGCTTACATATATGAGGAAAAATACATCAAAGACTAATTTTTTTCTCAACAAGAAATATATGGATATTTGTTGTAGGATGATTCTGCAATTCGGGTGCACACAGGTACAACTTAAGACATAACTAACAAAGATACAGGAAGTAGAAAACTTCACCTAAAGAGTTAGATTAGAAAGATCAACTGTTTTAATTAATTACTTACTGTGCCTATAACTTTGACCCTAGCTGACCTTTTCTTACTCAGGCAAAGGTAAGCAACTGAACCTATGTTGAGATGATGTAAATATTTGATTCAGAGAATAAGGGCAGAAAGAGAGGGTTTCATAATTAGGGTTAAGAAAAAGATAAGATATAAAAGCTTAAGAATTGCTTTTGAAACTGCTTCTGCAATTGCTTATCTGCATTCAGAGTTTTCAACACCAATTGACCACAGAGACATTAAATCTAACAACATTCTATTGGATGATAAGTTTGGACCAAAAATGTCGGATTTTGGGTTTTCTAGAGCAATTTTTGTGGAACAGACTCATGTAACAACTCATGTGTAATGGATCGGAGGAAGCAGCCTTTGAAATCAAAGCTTCAACCTTTCCTTGCTATTTGTTGGTGTTATACTGTTCTAGGCTTGTTTGGAACATAGTGAGTGAGTTCAGGTGGTGAGAGCAGTGGTCACTGGTCAATCCATTGAATCGTGTCCAAGGAACGTTTGGCTATTTTGGTCCTAGATATTTCTATAAGAGCCAATATTCTAAATAGAGTGATGTTTACAGCTACGGAGTTATTTTGGTCAAGCTTCTAACAAGATACAAAACCAACCTGCAACTGCCCCTTTCCCTGCAACTGCCCCGGCCCCCTGCTGCACCTTCTCCCTCCCTCCTACAACTGCCCCCTTGTTTTATTGATAATAATTTAACTTGAGAAAACTAAATAGCAGGACAGGCAAATTATTATCAGAAGATTGAACAGATTATACACAAAAAATATAATCAAAGTAATTACTTTTTCATACAATCGAATTAATAAAATGAAATCAGGTAAGCTAACATACGGAACATTGGAAATAAAAGAACAAAAATCAGTTGATCCATACAAAAATTGAAGCAGAAAATTGCAAAAATAAATCAAAATTGGAGAACAATTCTATACAAGTGTCGCAACTAGAATCCAACTAAATTCAATTGCTACCACATACGTATTGGAAAATTAAATTTTAATCACCATTGCTTCTTACAATAAACACTTTAAATACGAAAAAAGCGAATAATTAATAGATCTAACCTTGAAATGTTGTCGAAGAACTCATCTTGCAAGCGTTGGCTGAATCTTGGAATTAAGGATCGTTGGAACGGTTTTGAATCTTCAGCAAACAAGGTTTCTGATTTTGAGGTTCCTTTTTTTTTTTTTTTTTTTTTTTACATATAAATTGGGGGATAATAAAAGGGGTTAAGCGTCTGATAAGATCCCGTTCACTCCACCTTATTTTTAGTTAACTGAAATTATTTTTACTGAAATGAAATTATTATTATTGAACTTAAATTATTTTTACGAAATTATTTTTGCTGAACTTAAATTATTTTTACTGAATTGAAATTAATTTTATTGAAATGAAATTATTTTTGCTGAAATGAAATTATTTTTACTGATTTTCTATTATATTTTTTCCTTAAAGTTACTAAATTTTACTAAACTGAAATTATTTTTACTGAACTGAACTTATTTTTACTGAACTAAACTTATTTTTACTAAATATTATTTTTTTAAGGTAGAGTGAATAGGGCCTCAATTTGGGATTTTATGTGTTGTTTTTGTTTTGATTTAATAACCGCCTAATCAGCAAATCAGTCGTTGTAACTTTTTTTATAGGGTAATGATATATGTAGCCCTTAGGGTTATCACAAATTTTTATATGTGGCTTGTCACACCGTGTTGTCGGGGTTACTTATTCAAAGGTTACTCGTTAAAGAATCAATATAAGAGCATATGTCCTTTTTAATTTATTTTTTATATTTACAATTTACGATTAGTAATGCAGCCCGTCTTGTGTGCAGTTGGCCACACCATGTGGCCAATTGTAAAGGAACAAAGTAACCCCTATAGTACTGACCAAGTAACCCCTCTAACACTAACCGAGCAACCTCTACATCACTGACGAAGTAACTCCTGTAACATTGACCGAATAACCCTTATAACACTAACGAAATAACCTCCATTAGGCTGGTCGCACGGTGTGTCCAGCCACGTATAAGAATTTGTGAAAATGATTAATTTGAAAATTGGGAAAATACATACGATTATAATAGTACATAAATCAAATTCCATCAATTTTCGTCAAAAAAAATTCCATCAATTTTTATTGTATAATTTACCATACTACTCATCAATTCTAATATAATTATAAATTCATTAAAAATACAACTAATTGTAAACACGTAAGGAATTTTTATAGAAATTTTCTAAATAAAATATGTATCTAATGCTTAAAACTAATTGTATATTAAGCCACGAACATAATAATTATTTCGTATGGTTGTTGAAATTAGTATAATTTTATTTTCCTCAAATTAATGTTACCGGTTTTTATTAATATATGTATGCCACAAATAACTTTTAATATAGCACAAGTGTTTTAATGTCACGGCCAATAAAATACCCGTGTTGCAAGTGTTTTTTTTGCCACACGAATAAAATAAATTGTGACACAAGTGTAAATTTGCTATAGGACATAAATATTTGTGGCATAAGTGTTTATTTGTCACGGGAAAAAAAATTAGTCGTGGCACTAGTTTCAATTTGCCACGAATATTTTTCTCCCGTGGCATAATATGTGTTGACATTTTAAGTTTTTTTGGCTGATTGTATTTTTCCGTGGCAAGCTCAAATTATGCCACGAATTTTGTATTCCCGTGGCATAATTCGTGGCACAAGAGTCAATTTTTTGTAGTGATATGACACTTTAGATTTAATATAAAACAAATATAACATAATTTGATTAATTATGTATTGTCAAATAAAAATAAGGTAATATATGACAATAATAATCTATTATCAAACAAAAGTAAAATAATGCCTGACTGTAAAAAATTATTTGCAAACGTAACTAACATAATACCTGACTATTGTTGTTTTAGGGTTTTTTTTATGTCCCTCGGGAGAGTTACGTCACCAAGACAGATTTCCCGCCGGCTGTACCTATAAAACAACGGAAGCTCCGGGTGTTCGAAGTTCCGCCTCCGACGATCAAGTTCGAAAGTGTTCGGAGTGATGTAAAAGTGCGGAAAGTAAAAGTAGATCTTCTCGAATTATGAGATCTGGTGATTTCTCTGTTTTCGAGAGAATTGGTTGTGTGTAATAAATAAACGTGTCCCCTAAATGGGGTAATCTCCCTATTTATAGGGTCATTGGTAAATGTGTCTTTACCTAGGTCATTCTGACCTAGATTTGGTGGGCTGCGCTGCTTTGCAACTTTCTAGGGAATTAGGCCCTGGAAGCCATCATTCCCTGATGAATATCCGTATGCCACGTGTCAAGTCTAGGAGAGTCTACACTAGTAGAAAAAATGAAATAGGCACCGCAGTTTTCGCACTGGTTTTTGAAAACCGGTATTAAAAGAAATGAGCGGGATTGGGAAAAAGACTTTTCGCACTAGTTCTAACCAAACCGGTGCGAAAGCTATTGTAAAAAAAAAACCCGGTCTTTTGTTATGTTCTTTCTTTAATTTCTCTTTCTGTCTTCTTTCTTAATTTCTCTTTCCTCGATCTCTCCTCCTCTCTCATCTACCTCTCTCTCCTCAAACAAACCCTAATCAACAAAGGAATCGGGAAGTAGACGAAGATGAAGACCTAGATTGAACGTCGTTCTTGGGCGAAGAAATCGGCGATGCTTTTCATGAAGAAGTCGGCGCTCGTCTAACTATGGTTTCTACCTGAAGAAATCGGCCTTGAATGACCTGCTGCTCCTGGTTTGCTTCGATTTTGCTTCCTTTTGGTTTTGATTTTGTTTTTTTTTTTTTTTTTTTTTTTGCTGTTCTCAATTTGGATCTTCGTTGCGATTGATGAAGTTGATTTTGTTGTTGTTGTTTTAGGGTTGTCGAATCTGGTTGTGTTATTGGATTGATTGTTAATGGATTTACTCGTGAATTTGTTCTATGTTTGAGTGATTTTTACCAATTGAGGTTAACTGGAAGAAATTAAAGGTTTCCTGGTTTCGTGGGTGCGGTGGTGGGTGTGGTGGTTGCGGTGTGTGTTGTGCAGAGCTTGTGTGTTGTGGTGCTTCTGCTTGCTTGTTGTTGCTGTTGGGATTAATTGTTTCGGGGCGGGGGGGGGGGGGGGAGGGTGGGGGGATGTGTTTCTTGGATTATTGTGTATGTTCTTGCTGCGGTATGGTGTTACAGTGTTTTTTTGCTGTAATCTTTTGTTGCTGTGTTTGGTGCTGTGTCTTCTAGTGCCTTTGATGTGTGCTCGGTGATGCTGTTGCATGTTGCTTGTTTTGCTGCGTTTTTGTTGCTGCATCGTATTCTTCTTTCTATGGTGTATTTGTGGCCTGCTACTTGTGTATGTGTGGGCGGTAAAATTGCTATTCGATACTCCGCTTTGTTGTTGCTATGAGTTATGGTGTTGGATTGATGAAGTAAGAGTTCCATAAATCTGAAGTACTGTTGTTAATTTCGTGCATTTTGCTTTGTTTTTCTTTGTTTTGGGTAAACCCCACTTCATTATGCACATGTTCTTTTTCCTCCTAATTAAGTGAGCACCATTAGTTTTTGACTTTTTGGTGGATTGTCTAGGGTGGGGCTTGAAATGTTCTAATTTTTTTTTTTCTGTGTCTGTGAATGTTAGTTACCGAATGAACTACAAACAGACCAGTGGCCTGTTCCACCTGGTAGTAGAGCATTGCGATGCATTGGTGTGGCATTGAATGTGGCTGTAAGGTTGCTTGGAGCCTGTTCACCAGGAACTGGTGCTCGAATTATTGGTTTGGTGGGTGGTCCTTGCACAGAAGGGCCAGGAACGGTATGTTTGCTTTGCAAGTTGTAAGACATCATGCATTTTCTTTGATTCAGTGCTACCCTTTTGTCTCAAATAGTGACATTAATAGGTTTGCTACTTTCTTTGATTGATTTTTTATTATCTTGAATTTCTGGAAATTGAATTCAGTTTAAGTTAATATATGGTTAAACGATATAATTAAGTATTTCTTTGCTTTTTACAAAATCAAATTGAATGGATTGAAGTCAATTCACCTTGTATTATAATTGTGCAATATGGTTTTTGGCTTTGAGTATATTCTGTTGCCTTGTTGCTTGTGTCAGCTTTGTGAGGCATGTGAAACTTCTGTTTCATATGCATGTGTATGCTGAAATCCCCTGCAAGGTTGTACTACTTTATAAGGTTTTTTTATTCTGCTTAAGGTGTAGTAAAGATTCACTAAGATTTTAAGGCCATTATTATAGTGTCAATTAGATGTTGACTATGAGCTTATACAAATCTTGATTCAACTCCAAATTCTGACAAACATGTCTGAATTTAGGGTCTTGAACAAGACCGTTCTACCCGAAATCGAATATGCAACATGATGCAACTGAAAGATATTGGATCCTTAATTTCAACCAGAAACTGAACGAACCCAGATTATTGGTAATGAATGTGTCCCTTGTCTGATCTTGCATAATTGGAGTTGGGTTTTGATTCTTGTACTGTAGCTTCTCGATTGCATCCTTAATTTCTGTATATCCCGTGCATATGAAATATTTCTGAACTATGTATGGCTTTTCCTTACCATAGTATAATAAATGTATGTTTGCAGGAGGAATTTCAGTTAGTTTTGTTCAAAAACAAGAAGAAAGAGAATCTTTTTGCTAGTCGGGTATGTTGCTACTGAAGTTTTACATTGAAGACACTACACCTTCAGCTATATTCTTCTTTATCTGTTTTAAATTTGATAGTTTATGTCTCGTAAATATTATGTTATACCCTTAATAACTGCGAATCCTTCTGTACATAGATCTTCGATTTGTTCGATGTTAAAAGGAAAGGAGTAGTTAACTTCGGTGACTTTGTCAGAGTGTTGAACGTCTTCCATCCTAATGCCTCCCAAGAGGATAAGATAGACTGTATGTAACCTTGTTTTATACAAAGTCTCTCTAACATCGTCCTACATATTGTATATCCGAAACCTGGGTCATGTATATCTATTCACACTCATCCTTTTTCTATTGCAGTCACATTTAAGCTTTATGACCTGGATGGCATAGGATATATTGAGCGCGATGAGGTATATTGGGTTTGCTATCCCCTAATCCTCAACCCTCAAATTTCATTTACAATCTTTGATGTCTGAACAATGTCTTGTTTTACTTAGCAATACTGTGGACCCTGCTTTAAGGGATCATAAATTTATGCAATATGGTTGTCAGCTTGTTGTTGGTGTTGTTTGGCTATAGGCAGACAGATCTTCATTCAATGAATCAATGCTTATTGTCTTGTTCCTGTGTGAGGTGATTTTTGCCTCAAAGTTCGCAGTTGAGGTGGGGAGAGTTATGTTGTCATGTTTGTTTGATTTGCTCTTTTAATCTTATAACATTGCTCAATGTGATTTTCCTTCTCTTGGTTGGTCATATAACCTTGTACGATCATTGTGCTCTAAACTATAGTGATTATGTAATTAAATTAAACTAGTGATAAAACAGGTGCTTCAATACCAACGTTTTTTCAATCCGCAAGTGCTATTTGGTGTGATGCTTTGCTGGGTGATCCTTTAGGTTGCATACTAGTGCCTTTATTGTCTTAGATGTTCTAATATGCACTTGATCATAATTCTACATGCTTTGTAATAGTACACTTGTATACCTTGCATGTTAGCAAGTTTGTTATAATATTCATATGAGCTGATGTTTATATTTTTGCAGATGAGGCAATTGTTGATCGCAATTCTATGTGAATCTGAACTGAAGTTGGCAGACGAAACAATCGAACAAATACTTTATAAGGTAAGGTTAACACATTTCCATGTGTGCTGTATTCTTTGAACTTATTGCTGGTTTGCGGAGATCTATATTAAAGAGTATGCAAATCCATAAATAAAATGCTCATGTGCAGTTGTTACTAAAAATTCTGTTTTAAGACTGAAAATACTCAAAACTGTACCAGTACTGGCAGAACATGATCTAAGACCAGTACCAGTAATTGCATTCGTGGCAAGAGATTTTGAGGGATCTCTGGATTCTGTAGTTCACTTAAGTGATCATTGAGATTAATTTTCACTAATATGTAAAGATCTGGTTAAATTAATTATGTATAATGATAATGCTAGTGATTTACTTAGTACAATATATTGAAGATGAGAATTATATACTTTAATTTGTGGCTTTGAACAGAATTGGATTTTGTCAAAGTGCATTAGCAAGCCCTAGTTTTTTTTTTTTTTTTCCCATAAGTGATCTCTAGAAATAGAATATTTGACCTATTGACCTGTTCAGTGGAATGCTTGTCTAGTAGTGTGTTATTGCTTCCCGTCATCACTCTGTCATTGTTTTTACATCTACAAAGGATGACCTAAAAAAGAACTTTGAATCAGTAACTAAATTCGATTATTGTTTGCTTAAGTTTTGCTAGTTTACTATCGACACTTGGTTAAGGAGTAATTAGTTTTGGCTGCTTTGTCTTAGATTGAGCTGGAATCTGCAAAATCTGAATTTCAGAAATGGCATTCTTCATTTCAGGATGAGTCTTTTATATCCCCAGCTACTACTCCAGGCCAGTCTTATAATTTTTAGCTTATATTTTGTATTTCTAATGGCTTATCACCTCTCTCTCTCTCTCTCTCTCTCTCTTGCTCGCTCTCTCTCTCTCTCTCTCTCTGCGAATGTAGGAGAATAGTTATTGGTAGGAAAAATTGGAGGCTGTATGCTGAGTTGATATTTACTAAGAGTTCATGGGCTGGTAAGAGAATTAGGTTGGTCATTTTTTTTGGGAAGGCTACTTTTTGAGATGTGTTTGATTTTATAATCTATATTTGAAGAAGATAGGGAGACCGTGGCTACTTGCTTAAGCCTTTTATTGTATAGTCAGAATAATATTGTTGATTCTATGGTATGGATGTATGGTGGTGTGTATATTCTGCTTAGTTTCCTTAAGGACCCGATAGTTCTCACTCCCCATCTTGGAACCGTTGAAAGTTAAACGCTCTTTGCTTAGCATGTTTGTTTTTGGCCTGGAAAGCTATAAATCTATGATCAGTACAAAGAAAAAAAAAATTAGAAGGGAGAAATTTTAGCCTTGCTAGCACATGTAGTCTTTGCTCATAAATCTGTACTTTTCAGTCCTTTGCTTCTTCCTTATGGCACTTGAGTGTGAGTGTATATTTGTTTGGAATCAGTTGGTTCAGCCTAGTAAAGTGAAGACCTGTTATTAATGAGTCCGGTCGTTCTCCCTGCCAAGCACAATTTATTTTCAGATGCTATGTTGCCTAAAGTCTTACATTATTGTTGCAGGCTACTTTAACAATCATGAGGCGACTGTTTCAACTCTCACTTCAGATGGTTGGCTAAAAACAGGGGATGTGCTATTTTGATGAAGATGGCTTATGGTTTTCAATTGATCCTTTGACAGAAATATGCTTAGTTAAATGAAACGCAAGAAAGGTACTCAGAGATAAGTCTGGATTATTTAATTTTTTTTGGATGAAAATTGTAAAATTACAGCCTTTTTTAATGAAAATATGTAACTTTATATATATGTTAGTGTTTATATATTAATTTAAGTGAAAAATAAAAAAAAAAAAATTATTTTTTTTTGGCATTTTTGGCACCGGTTGTGGAACAGAACCGGTGCTAAAAATTTTTTTTTTAAATTTTTTTTGGCCACTTTTCGCACCGGTTCAAAGCAAGAACCGGTGCTAAAAGTTTTTTTTTTTAATATTTTTGGGGACTTTTTGCACCAATTCACATCAAGAACCGGTGCGAAAAATAAGTTTTCGCACCGATTTTGAACCGGTGCGAAAAATCTTGGGATTTGGCATCCCTCAAATCAGGACCGGTTCAAAACCAGTGCGAATTGGGGGTTTTGAACCGGTGCTGATTAGCAATTTTCATCTAGTGCTATTTGGACCCCTTACAGAGTCACACGTGTCACACTTTCATTAGACCACGTGGCGAGGGTAAAAATCCCCAAATCATCTGCCCCTCATAGGGGTGACGTGGCACGCCACGCGATGCATGTGACAAGCGTCACACATGCATGGGTGGACAACATTTTTACTGTTTACCTTCTAGAGTAAATGTCAGGGTTGCCCCTAAAACATTTACCTCTCTATAAATATATTTTCACCCCCCTCATTTTTCGCATATTCACGAATAATTCTTCGAGAGAGAATCTTTGACTTTTGAGAGAATTTGCTTATTGCCGCTTGAGTTCGATCTGCCTGCATTACAGTCGACCCAAGAAGTTCCAACAGTACCTTCAATACAAGGTAACTGTCTGCTCCATCTCTTTCTTGTTCTTTAATTTTTCGTTTATGTTTGTTATTCCTTGTTTTTTCAAAATGGTTTCACAAACACACACCGCACGACCTAGGGTAGCTGTCATCCGGTCACCGGGGACGACTGAATCTAGGACTAAGAGTGTCGCCTGCCCCCACTTGGACACCCCTCTGCAAACATCCCCGAATCTGACCGTCTCTGTGTCTGTGCAGGACACTATGGTCAGAACTAAGAGGACGCCCAGGGCCCCATAGATGATGTGGAAGACGACGACACTATTAGGGTGCCAAGAAATGAGGTTTTTGATCACCCACCCAGCTCTCCAAGAACGCCGGATGACTCCATTCTGAACGAGTCAGATGATGGGTCTGATAATAGTGCATCCGGCTCTGAACAAGGGTTATCCCAGTCGGACGCCGTTTCAGGCGGTTCCAATGATAGAACTGAGAGCCGCCTGTAGCCCATGAAGAGCTAGAAAGCTCTAAGTCTGCCTCTGACTCTTAGGAGGAGGTCGCTTTTCTTGAAAGAGGATAAGGGGAAGATTCTTCCTCTGCTCGAGAAGAATTCACCCTCTATTTCACCTATATCACTGCTTGGACTCAGAGACATATGTTAAAAAAGCTTGAGGAATACCGGGACACTTATGTCATGGGGGCCGGATATGAAATTCATGTCCCTGACCTGGAAGATACAGTCGTCTTGCCATTCGATCAGAGTTATGGGGATCAATGCTTCAGCTGTTACGAAGCAACGATACAGGCGGGCTTGAGATTTCTCCTTGACAAAAACGTTAAGAAAATCCTGGACGGATACTGCCTGGGTGTTTGGCAGCTTGCCCCTAATTTGTGGGTGAATGTTCTTGGGTACATCGCCGCCTGTAAGATGCTCAGGGTGAAACCGGGCTTTGAGGCCTTTGCTTCGATGCATTATTTGAGCGAGGCTCCTAAGGCAGCCGACCCTAGGTGGTACACCCTAACTTGTCACAAAGGGTTCATGATGACCTTGGGCAAGGAGTCAAAGTGGAAGGTCAGGCGAAATCGATTTTATATCATCTCCTCGCCAGATACCAGGCGGAACCAGAAGTATAATACTTGGAATAGGAACCCATACCTTCTTGGCCAGAAGGCTATCCTCCCGCTTGTTCCTAATGAAGGCTTGGATCAAATTTTGATTTCTGGCTTGTTTAAGGTCTCCACCAAAATCTTAGAGGAAGGGAACGAAAGGGAGATAATTCCCCATAGTTACATCCCTAGGTTTGAGTGGCTAAGGGACCCTTTTTACTTAGCCGCATACGACCTTAGCATAGAAAAAACTAAAGGTAGCTGGTCGGATGGGACCGTCTAGCAAAATACATCTCCTTTTTTTTTTTTTTTTTTTATTAATTTCTTACTAACACTCATCCTGCCTTTTTTGTAGAAGAAGCAATGTCGCAGCTTTCTCCAAGTAAGAAACCTGCTAGCTCTACTGCCGCCTGTCGCCAAATGATCTGGCAGATTAACCAGATCTTCAAGAAAGATCAGCTGGCCCATGTAAGTTTTCCACAACTGTCACAGTCAGGCGGACCTTATTGTCTTGAACTGATGGCTTAACTTCTTTATTTTCAGGAAGGATCAACAAGGCCGCCTGCTCCCCCCAATTTTGGTGATAAGCCTCTGAAGCGTCTGTTTGCTGAAGAGGACCAGACGCCCTCAAAATCGAGGAAATCTGTGGCACAAAAAAATCCATCTGCTGCCAAGTCTGGGGATGATTCTCATCCCTCTACTACCGGCAAGTCACCTGCTTCTCTTGAAGCACTTAAAAAACCGAATGCCCCTCGGTTGTTGCAGAGTGGCAAGCCATTCACCGCTGCTGTCGGCTCAGCAGCAGCAGGCGGACATGCCATAAGCGGACACAAAGACAAGCATCCTAAAGACTTGGAGGTTGAGCTCCCAGGTTTTAGTGCCTTAAATCCATTACCTTACGCTAATAGGGTTTATCAGCAGTCGCCCAGCAGCTCTGAAGACACCCGGTCTATAGACCGGGTTTATGTTAACTTCTCACCAAGTGTTGAATGTGAAAATGCTGCCAGAGGCCGGATATACAGCAGTTCGCTAAGAACATGCTGAAGACCGTCTCTACCGAGGAGCGGGATTCCGTGAGGGGGGTTGGCACCCTCAACTTTGATGCCATTTTGGCCCTGCTAGCTGAGGTAACCTGTTTTTAACTTAGAAAATATTTCCAACTCCTCTCGTGCCGTCTGTTTATTGATGATCTTCTTTGCCAGATGCAGGCCATGCTACGGGTGAATGGGCTCAAGAAGCCGTTCTCAAATAAACAAAAAGAGGTAAAGAGTGCCAAAGAAAGGGCCGCCTCTGTTATAGACCAAGCCATGTTTGACATATGTAAAAATGAAGCACTAACCCATGATATTCTGCATTCTCAGGTGGAGGCCAACCTGCAGGTCAAGCAGCAGCTAAAGGCGGCCCAAAAGAGGGTATTTGAGCTTGAGGGCAAGCTGAAGTGAGCCAAGGGCGAGCTTGAGAAGCTTGGAGATGTCATCAGGGATACAAACAGTCTCAGCTGCCAAAACGAGAATCTGAAAAGGAAGCTCGCCAACTAGGAAGAGCAGTTGAGGAAGAAGTACCAGCCAGGGCCGAGGAGGAAAAGAGGCAGCTGATCGAGGAGAATGAGGTCGACTGCGCCATCCGGATGAGAATGGCTTGGAAGGCTTTGCATCTTGACGACGACTACTCCGTCTAGAACTATCGTTTGAGCAAGCTACTGACGAGCTTGATGAGGAGCGACTACAGGCGGAGAAAAAGGGCGAAGCTGATAATGATGAAGACATGGCTGAGAATGAGGATTTCGAGCATGATGGGGGTCATCCGACTGATGCTGGTGAAAAGCCGGATAGGAATGTAGAAGAGTCCTCCCCTAATGATGATCAATTTTAAATGTTTCTTTGGCCGAATGGCCTGACAATTACTTTTTCGGCATACGTGCCGAGTATGTATGTATCTTTACCGACTATGGAATCGGATTTGATTAACACATTTTCTTTTCTTCACCGATTGTAAAATCGGTTAACACTTTCTTTTGGTCGACCATTGGGTCGGATATCTTGCATAAAAAATTTTGTCCTTGCATTTTTTATTATGCATAAATTTTGCTTAGTGCGTAGCCTTTTTATTTTATGCATGCGGTATACCAGATGTATTTGCCCCTGGACGGATGTGCACTTGGTTTCAAAATTGGGTTGATTGACTTAGAAATTTTTTATACTTGAAGGAGTATGACTAATTTCCAAGTCAATCCAATCACTATGGTGATTGCCCCAAACCAAGCGGACAGTCGTCCATCGAGCAGCCGGATATTTTAACCATGCGGTCATTGACCGTCTCCAATCGACATATGCCGAATGACTTTAGATGCTAAGTTCTGGACTTAGCATTCAATTTCTATTTGAATCAGCACTACCTCAATTAGGCAGGCGGGTAGTCGTTTAGTAGCAGACGACCATTGACCGTATTGAGTCGTTTTAAACGAGCAATGTTTGGCTGCTAAGTTTTGGACTTAGCTTATATTTTCAAATTTGGCCGCTTGTATTGCCCCTGAGCAATAACTGGCATCTTAATGGTGTAAGCACCTGAATAAGTTCTATCTAAATGAAACAATAGCCAGCTACCGGTTGTTATAGAATAGGCAGTAAACTTTAGCTATCTAGGTCTCATATTAGTTATTCAAGTCAAACAGCTACGAGCTTGTCTTTATCCAGATAGTCGGTTGGGTCGTTTGTTTTTTAGTTTATAGATCAATGTACCACCCAAATGGGAGATGCTCTCTGCGACGAATTCACCCGGATGGGCGTCACCAGATGTCATACTCTTGTAGGAGCAGACAATTGGTTTAGATTTCGCCGCCTACACATTGCACAGCCGGTGTTCCCATTGGGAGACATATCTAAATAAGCATAAATAAACAATATTGAAAATAAAAAGCAACTTTTCATTGATAAGCTTTTTATTTACAAAAAAGTTATAAGTCTTAGAAGTAGTATATCTTTAGATTGTCCACATTCCAAGTTCTGGCTAGCTTTCTGCCGTCTGAAGTTTCTAGGCGGTAAGTGCCGCTCTTATTTCTTCATAGATCCGGTAGGGACCTTCCCAATTAGGGATCAACTTGCCTTGCTCATTGGCCCTACCGGTTGCCTCCATTTTCCATAGCACAAAGTCTCCTACTTTCAAGGGCCGTTTGTGTACTCTTTTGTTGTAGGCTCTTGTCATTCTCAAATAGTATATCTCATGACGCAAGGCAGCATTGCCCGTGCGTTCGGGAAGTGAGTCCAATGCCAGCCGCATAGCCTCCCAATTTTCCTATTCATCATTTAACATGACTCGAAGAGTCGGCTTATAATGCTCAATAGGCAAGACGACTTCAGCACCGTACACCATGAGAAATGGGATTTCGCCGGTGGCCCCTTTTGCTGTTGTTCTGATGGCCCATAGGACATAAGTTAACTCTTCTACCCATAGACCGCTAGCCCTTTCAATTTTCTTTTTTATGCCGTCTGAGATTAGCTTGTTGAGGGCTTCAACCTAGCCGTTTGCTTGGGGACGACCGACTGATGCAAAACACTAAGAGATCCCTTGGTCTCCTAGCTTATTCTTGAGGGTAAGCGTCTCAAATTGAGGGCCATTGTCAAAGACCATAGACATAGGTACCCTAAATCCGGTGATGATGTTCTTCCAGATGAAAGAGATGCCATCCTTTGTCTTGATGCCTTTGACCGCCTCCGCCTCTACCCACTTGGTGAAGTAATCAAAGGCAACTAGAATATACCGTCGTCTACCTGACACGGTTGTATATGGACCCAGAATGTCCATGCCCTATTTGCGAATGGTACTAGGCTATGAATGGCCGTCGGATCGGTTAGCCGGACGGTGGATGAGCTTGCCAAATCTTTGACACTTATCACACTTCTTCACCATTTCCATGGCATCTGCCTCAAGAGTGGGCCAAAAGTAGCCTTGCCGCCTGGCCCTTTCTGCTAAAGCTCTGCCGCCAATATGTGAGGCAAAGAAGCCCGAATGTAGATCTTCCAGAATTTCCTGCCCCTTCTCTGGGTGATACATTTCAAGAGAGGCTGTAGAAAACCCTTCTTGAAAAGTTCTCCTTTACGGATCTCAAAGTTGGCCTCACGCTTTTTCATTGCAGCCGTTTTTGGATATGTATCCGGTAGAGTGCCGTTTAGTAGATAGGCCTGGATGCCATCCATCCAGGTTGAGCTTCGGTCTAGAACTCCAATAAGATCTTCTTCAATACTTCGTTTTTTCCATTGCTTCCTAGAAGACTGACCGAGGTGTATCATAGGAGGCGGACGATGCCGGCTTTGAAAAAGCATCCGCCTGATTGTTCTCTGACCTCCGCACTTGACTTAAATAGAATCTGTCAAGTGTCCGGACTTCTGTCCTGACCGCCTGCAAGTATTTGATCATAGCCGGATGGGTGGCCTCATAGTCACCATGGTGTTAGCTAACAACCAATTGAGAATCAGAGCAGACGTCAATTTTTCTTGCTCCTGCCGCCTTACACAAGCGGATGCCGGCTAGCAGGGCTTCATACTCTGGCTCTTTATTTAAAGCCTGGAACTTGAACCGCAGTGCATATTCATATTTGTCCCCTCAAGGAACTGACATATTATCCCTGCACCACAACCGTTCATGGTAAAGGTCCCTTCTACATACACCTTCCAAACCTGGGCAAGATTTTCCAGCTCAACCGACCTTTTCATTTCAACAATGAAGTCGGCAAACGCTTGACCCTTCACTGCCTTCCTTGGTTCAAAAGAGATTTCAAGACTTTGCATTTCAATAGCCCATTTGAGCATTTGGGAGGATGACTCTAGAGATGTCATTTGCTGCTTGAGTGGTTGGTTTGTATAGACTACCACCGAATGTGCCAAGAAGTAAGGTTTCAACTTCTTGACTGCCATGAACAAGGCGAGACCGAATTTTTCAATCATAGATTACCGGAGTTCTGCATTTTGAAGCATATGGCTAATGAAATAGACCGGGAGCTGATTGCCGTCTCTCTCAGCAAGAAGAACAACATTGAGAGAATGATTTGAGAGGGCAAAAGGCTAACAAGTCTTGGCAAAGAGTGTAAATGCTCTTTCAATTTTTGAAAGGCCGCCTCAGCATCATCCCCCTATTCGAACATGGTCTTCTTTCTGATTGCTTGGAAAAAAATAGAGGCACTTGTCACATGACCGACAGAGGAATCTCCCCAACGCCGCCAGACAACCGGTTAATTTTTTAACTTCCTTTACAATGTGGGGAGACTTCATGTTAATGACAGCCTGTATCTTCTGTAGGTTGGCCTCTATCCCCCTTTGATCAATAAAAAATTTGAGAAACTTCCCAGACTCGACACCGAAGACACACTTCTTGGGATTGAGCATGACCTTGTGCCGCCTGAGTGTGGTGAAGGTTTCTCGGAGGCCAGCTAGATGGTCCGTCTGTAGCTTATATTTGACTATCATGTCATCAATGTACGCCTATTCCTTCCATTCTGATTAATGAAGACCGAGTTAATCATACGTTGGAAAGTAGCAGGCGCATTCGTCAAGCCAAACGACATCACAGTATAGTAGAATAACCCCTGATTAGTGACGAATGTCGTCTTCTCTTGATCTTTTTTCCATAGGGGTATCTGATGGAAGCCAGAATAGGCATCCATTAAACTCATTAAAGCATGTCCAGCTGTTGAATCGACCACACTGTCGATCTTTGGAAGCGGGTAACTGTCCTTTGGACATACCTTGTTCAGATCAGTGTAATCAACACATATGCACTAGGTACCCTTCGGCTTCTTTACAAGGACAACATTCGCAACCCAGTCTGGGAAGTGACATTGCCGAATGATCCCGACGTCTAACAACTTCTTGACCTTGATGGCTGCCGCCTGAGATCTCTCCTCGTTGTGATTTCTTTTCTTTTGCCTAACAAAATTCTTTTTTGGATCCACTGCGAGTTTGTGGACAGCGAGATCCGAGTTGATGCCTGGCATCTCTTCCACTTCAAAGGCAAAAATGTCCTTGAATTCTTTCAGCCGATGGTGCAATTCTACACCCAGTTTTGCAAAAGCAACCATCCCAACCTTTACAGTACGCTCTGGACGTGTGTCATCCAGAACGATATCCATATGTTCTCCAGCCGGTTGGGGACGGAGGTCATCTGACCTTTTACCCTGGTTTGTGATTGCTATTGATTCTCTTTTTTTCAGCCACCAGCTCATCGACCTTTCATTTCTTAGTGGCTGCTGGTGGGGCAGGCTCTTCCTCCTTGACATCGTTAAGGTCTATTGGCTCCTCACCCTGGCCGGCTGCTACCGCCGTGGGCTTAACGTCTAAGAGATCGCACTCTCTTGCCGTCTTCTGGTCCCTATTCAGGGAGCCAACAGAATCGTCATCTTTTTCAAACTTCAGCAGCATGAGTGATGGGATAATGATGGCCTTGGATTCGTTCAGAGTTGGACGACCCAAAATGAGATTATAGGCGGTCAGCTCTTCTACAACCAAGAATCGGACGACCATGTGGCGCCTCTCTCCCTTCTCTCCCAACTGGATGGGTAGATCAATTCGGCCTACTAGGTGCACAACTCCACCCCCAAAACCAACCAAGGGGTGGGTGACCTTGTGCATGCTGCCTGACTTATACTTCAGCGTGGACAGACACTTGTAGATGATGATGTCAGACGAGCTACCGGTATCAATAGAGATCCGGCCAACCCTCTGGTTGGCTACCTTGCATTCGATAACAATGGGGTCGTCATGTGGCCGGCAAACTTTGCCCCGGTCCCTCTAAAAAATGATGACCTCAGGGAATGTGTCAGAAGATACCCTGACCCTCGTTAAGAGAGCTGACATCCAGCTGCCGGACATGGTCCTTGGTGCCTCTGATGGTAGGACCCCCACCGACAAAGCCGCCTGCTATGGTGTAGATCGGCTCCTTGTCGATGTCTCAACTACTAGCAGGCTTTGCTAGCTTTTTTTACGGCTATCAAGGGTCCGTCATCAGGGTCACCTTACACTTGAGGATGTAAGATTTCAACACCTCTTATCAGCCAATATATCCAATAACCGCTTGAGGCTATAGCAGTCGTTATTGTCATGGCCAATATCCTCGTGGAAGTGGCAGTACTTGTTTTTATTCCGGTTTTTGGCCGGACCTTTCATTGCTGCGGGCTTCTCAATAGTCACCCGGTCTTTTATCTCCATGAGGATGGAGTAGCAGTCTTTGTTAAAATCGTACTTTGGGAAGTATGGTTTAAACTCTTTCTTTTTCGTCAGGGACGGCTGATCAGAATCCTTAACCGCCCAGATTTCTTTTCTCTTCTTGCTTTCTTCAGCTTTTTGAGCCGGCTGTTCTTCCTGATTCCCTTTTTGTTTGTAAGACTTCTTTGAGTCCAACTGCTTGCTGGTGGAGTAGAGCTCGGTCTCCTGTATATAGGCTTCCGCCTCCATCAGCGCTTCTTGAAGAGTGGAGATTCTCTTCCAGACATGGTTGAACTTGAAAGCCAACCCGTCTTTCAGACCCTTGAAGAAGTCTGTGTAAGCAAAATCGTCAGACAGTCCTTGCATCTGGATTCTCACCAGATTGAACCACCTGACGTGTATGAGCGGAGCCCCTCCCTGTCTCCCTGTTATTCCGCACCCAAGTCAAGGCTTGTCTTTTTGGCGGGTATAATCATGGAGAAGTTTGAGGCGAACAAAGAACGCAAGCGTTCTAAAATTGTTGATGCACCCAGCCGGCAAATTGTCGAACCACTGCTGGGTAATGCCCTTTAGCGTGGCTGGGAAACACCTGCACCATGCGGCGTCATCCAACCCCTGCAAGTACATGAGGTGGGTGTATGCCAACAGGTGGTCTTCTAGGTTGGATGTACCATCATAAGTACCCACCATGACATTCTTAACCTTGGCTGGCTATGCCGCCTCGGTTATCTCCTTGGAGAACGCAGAAGGTTGTTCTCCAAGTTTTAGCAGACGGAGCTGCTAGTCTAGTGGCTGGACGTTATATGCTGCCTGACCCCTAAAGAGGGCAGGCTACAGGTAAGGCTAAGCAAACGACCTGTATAGCTGCTGAGGCACATACGGGACCGAGCCTATCATTAAGGACCTCTATGGACGGACGGGCCGCCTGACAAGCTCTCCTGTACAGATTGAGAATACCTCATCGAGGTATTCTTGAAGTTGTCTGGGAACGTCGACGTGGAAGCTGAGTCAGACAGTTGCTTGTTTCTCCTTTGCTCAATAATAAGTCGAGCATCAGAGATAGTCTTCTTGCTGCCATCCGACTGTGTATGCTGGATGACCTTCCTTTTCCCCAGCTCAGGGAAGCAAAACTTGGTCCAATCAATCAAAGGTCGGGTCCCCTCCTTTGTTTTTGGGTGCGGAGTGGGCTCTCTATCCTTGATCAATTAAGCCTTCTCAGAGCAAGAGGGCTTCTTGGCCGACTAACCCTTGCTTGGACCAGCCGTCCTCTTGGAGATCAGGTCCTTTATCTCTCCCTTGAAACATGTCATGAATTTCATGAACTCGTTTCGAGTGTTGTGAGCAGACTGTCCTGGCGCCTAGGGCTGGCTGGAGGACTTACTCGGACCCGATTGACCATCACCCCGCTCCTTGTTGTCTTTGGAACGGATGCGCCTAGTAATGAGGGATCCATCTGCGGCCGTATATGTTT